GTGGGGGCTCCACGGTGCCAGCTCTTCTCCCTGCCCAGGTTTCATCGCCTCTGACATGACGTCGAGGAACTCCAGCACCCAGCTGTGGCTCATCACCCACTACCACGAGAACGGCTCCCTCTACGACTTCCTGCAGAGGACGGTCCTGGACGTGGAGACCTGCCTGGGCCTGGCCTCCTCCATCATCTGCGGCCTCGTCCACCTCCACGTGGAGATCTTCGGCACCCAGGGCAAGCCTGCCATCGCCCACCGGGACCTGAAGAGCAGGAACATCCTGGTGAAGAGCAACCGGCAGTGCTGCATCGCTGACCTGGGTGAGGTGGAGGGCTGGGGGGTGGCACCTCAGGGATTTGGGACCCCAGGGATGTGGTACCCTGGGATGTGTGACCCAGGGATGTAGTGCCCCAGGGATGTGTGACCCAGAGATGTGGTACCCTGGGATGTGTGACCCAGGGATATGGTGCTCCAGGGATTTGGTACCCCAGTGATGTGGTACCCTGGGATGTGTGACCCAGGGATGTGGTACCCCAGGGATGTGTTGCCCCACGGATGCAGCATCCCAGGACGCAGCCCCAGCACAGCACTGACCGAGGCCAACATCCCGGCCTTTTACAGTTAAACTGGAAGATCCTAAAGGTCCTTCCCAACCCCAATGACTGTGATTCTGTCCCATCCCGTCCCCAGGACTGGCTGTCATGCACTCCCAGGGCAGCGACTACCTGGACATCGGCAACAACCCCCGGGTGGGCACCAAGCGCTACATGGCCCCCGAGGTGCTGAGCGAGCAGATCCGCACCGACTGCTTCGAGTCCTACAAGAAGACGGACATCTGGGCCTACGGGCTGGTGCTCTGGGAGATCACCCGGCGCACGGCGGTGAACGGTGGGTGGATCCCAGCCCCGGCGGCTCCGCTCGCTCCCGGCTCCCCGCGAGGCTCTGCTCGCTCACTCTGTCCTTCCCTCCTTCTCTTGTTGCCTTTTTTTTTTTTTTTTTTCCCTCCTTTCCTTCGCCCAGAAGATTAGCTGTAAATTATAAACACTGTAATCTAGTGTCAGCACCCGGCTCCCTGATTAAAGGGCCCATTAGGCTCAATCAGTGCTTTGTTTGTTCAGCGCTGATTAGAAAACAAGCAGCTCCCGAGCTCTGCCTGGAAAGCGGCCACGGCCCGGGACCTTCGGCCGCTGGGGCTTGGCTTGGGAACTCGGGAATGGGGACAGGGATGAGGTCCCCCCGCGCCGGGGAGGAACCTCCTCGGGGCTGCCCGGCCAGCGCTGCTCATCAGGCAAAGCCCATTAGAAGCATTAATTAAATGGTGGGTGCTGGCGGGTGAGGGGGGAGGTCCCCCCAGGCACAGTCTGGCCGGGATAATCTCATTTAGGGCCCCAGGGCTCCCTCAGATTACACATTTACTCCGAATTACCCCGGCCATGTGCAGGGACGATCTCCAGCCAGCTGGGTTTAACCCTTCCAGAATCCCTCCCCCTCCAGGATGGCCTCAGGGTATCAGGGATGGGGGGGCTCCAGGGGACCCCGAGGTTTGGGGGCTACGCCTTGGGGTGCAGGGAGCTGGCGAGGGCTCGGGGCATCCCACAGAGGTTAAACCCTGGCGGGACACGGACATATGGAGGCACTAAGCGGAGATTAGCTGGGCCAGCTGGCCCTGGGGTGACGGCTGGAGGTGGTGGCAGTGCTGGGGGCTGGAGCTGGTGCTGGGGGCTGGAGCTGGTGCCGGAGCTGGTGTTCATGGTGGGGCTGGGGCTGGATTAGTGTCAAGGCTGGAGCTGGTGCCGGAGCCACCAGCAGTGCCAGAGCCGTGCACTCCATGGGCACCATCACC